AATCCAGTCCTTTGAGCAAGCTTAACACGTGTGGATTTAATTTTCCTTTCTTTCTTGCTTTCTTTTCTCTCCCCCCACCCCACCCTGGGAGGGAACAAGAAAAATAGTCTGCCGTGTCGACAGCGCGACACTGTTCTGTTTGCCAAAGAAAATTTGTCTTTCCAGAGCCCCGGAGAACAGCGGGCTCCCAAATTTCCATCTCACCCGTCAGTGGAGGTAAAGGGGGTATCCAGACAGGCCCCCTGCCTGCACCCCAGATCTGGTGGTTTTAGCCCAACTCTCTATCTTACAGTGTCAGAGCCTTGGAATTCAGACCATTCCCCCACCCACACCCACACACCTTTCGGGGTTGCTGATGGTGGTGTAGACACAGGGGCCGTACCCGAAGACCTTCAGCGGTTCTGGGCTGCAGGGTCGGCCGCACACTCGGCCTCAGTCCTGCACACTCAGCCTCAGTCCTGCACACTCAGCCTCAGTCCTGCACACTCAGCCTCAGTCCTGCGTGCACAGGCTCCCGATTCTCTCCTCAGACCCTCACCTTTCTCTAGTGGTAACTCCCCAGATTGGAGGGGGTGACAACAGTGGCCCCATTAGCGCCCAGGGCCACTCACTGTCACCTTCCCAGCTCTTCGGAAGCCTGCAGGACACCAGCACACACTTCTGTCCGGTCTTCTGTCTGCTGGTTTCTGAAAGGGGTTCTGCTAGCATTTATTATTCGGCTTAGCCGGCAACGAAACAAGGAAGCAAAAACAAAACCCCATCCACCAAGCTTGGGGAGCAGGGAGGGACAGTTCCTAAACACACGCATATGTGGGGAGCAACCGTAATACTGTTTTTTTGAGGGTTGAAATACTAGAGCGGTATAGTATATTTTGAAAAATAATAACAACAACAACAACAACAGCCTGCATTCTTCCCAGAGAGTTCAGGTCAAAGGGAGGAGGCTAGTTGCCGAATAAAACATTTGGAAGACAGCTCTCATGGTCCCGGAAAAACAGAATAGAGACAGATTTCACTAGGCGAGAGGGAAAGTGACCTCCTGAGGAAAGCGGCAATTTCCCACCCTTGGCCGGAACCATTTATTTTGCAAAATAAGTTGGTCAAAGTTTAGTTTTGTCGTCATTTCTCCTGCTGTTATTGCACTTACTAATTTTCCCAGGGCAACCCGCACTTCCCTGCACTTTTGGCCGCTCGGGTTGGGTGAGGCGGAGCGGGGGCATCTTGAGGGAGATGGGCCAGAGGGTATTTTTGAGAGCACATTCTCTTTTGAGAGGACAGCACTAGAGTGGTGTTGAAAGTGACTTTCTTTAAAACCGGACGAAAAATGATGAAAGATCAATAGCCACCACTGTCCCTTCCTTTTCTTTTAGTTAAAAAAAAATAACACTGTCATCTCTCCCAGTCTTCCCAGTATTAAAATCAGGATGGGAGTTTTGTTGGGAGTAGAATACACTTAGGAGAAAAACTGAGCGGGGAGTCCGTTTGTTGGGGAAGCATAGTTTTCTCCAAAAGAAGGGAGGGAGGTGTGCATTGCCACGGGAAGCCGAGTCCACTGCCCAAATCAGCAGCGTAGGGATGGCGATTGTAAGACAGAACTCGGGTCTTCGGTTTTTAGAGCTGCGGTGCAGCTTTGGAGCTCCTGGCAAAGCCAAGCTGCGGTGCTTGGCTTTTCAAAGGGATGCAAAATTTGAAAGAGAGGAGTCAAACTGCAAGGAACTCGCCCCACTGAGTGCACTTTTCCCCTCCTGCCCAGTGTGGCCTAGGCCTCCACTTCCGGCCTATCTAGGTCCACAGGTCATCTGGGACCTCACGGGAACTAGGGTTCTCACGATGAATTTCATTTTTTGCGGCACTGTGGCTCCCACAAGAGAAGCGTGCATGCACAGGCCTCGGATTTGGGGAAAGGTAGTCAGGATCTTGAGAAACGAAAGCGAAGCCACCGCAGCTCGGCCTAGAGGCGGCCTGCGCTCTGCTCGCTGGAATGCACGGTGTCCGCGGCCCGGCTGGCCCGGGCGCCCGCAGTCTCGCTGGAAGCCTCTGCCCAGCGGTCCCCGCGGGGCTGACCTTGGCTCCCACAGCTGCTCACACGACTGGTCCCTGCACATTTCGCCGCCGCTCCATCCTGGGTAGACCGGGCCTGCAGCCAGGCCTTGCTTTGGAAAACCCTTGGGGTTCGCGGCGCGCGCAAAACCCAGAATCGAACCCCGAAGCTGGGGACAAGTCCAGATTCAGAGGCCCGGCTCCCTCGGGGCCCCTGGGCGGGCCGGGAACTTACCCTTCCGGAAGGCCCGGCGCACAGGCTCTGCGCTGGGCAGGCCAAGCTCTTGCATCGGCGCCGCCAGGGGCGTCTACATGGTGCGTTTCGCAACTCAACGTAGCGGATCTCCAATGGCGCGCAAAAGCTTGCGCACAGCCACCAGGCTACTTAGAAATCGCGCCCTTTGATCCGACTAGAAATAATTGTTGTTGTAATTACAGAGCAGGATAGAATGCCTCGCCCCTCTGCGGGACCGGCGTTTTAATTTTTCTTCGCAGAAATCATGCTTTCCCAACCCCACCCTGTCCCCACCACCCACTCGCACCCCACCCCTGCCGGGCCACCGTAGGACAAATTGCACCCCCGGACCTGGTCAAAGGAGCCTTCTCACAAGGGTCTTTTCTGTCTGCAAGAAACATCTCTGGCAACTCTCTTTTGGTCTGGGGATTTCTCAGTCTCTTGTTTCCCCTCCGCGACGATCCAGTAATTACTTTGTGCCGTTCTGCAATTGGGCGTGTGGTTATCGCTTTACGAAAAGCAAGCCCTGGAGAAACTCCTCCACACGCATTGCTAAAAAGCTAAGCTCCTTTCAGGGGGAAGAAAGAAAAGTAATACCAAGAAATCCTTGCCTCTTGCAAAAGATCTCATTCCTCTCAATAACTCGATTTCTTTCCAAAGCGGGCTGGAGCCCCCTCCTCTCCTCCGCTCTAAGAAAATCGATCTTGGCTATATTTGTGTCCTAATGTTCACCGCCTGCCCTCCCCCAGGGCGCTGGGTTTGTTTATTTCTTTATTTATTCTCCGGGGCCAAGGCGTCCTGGACTTGTAGCTAGAGTACCGGGACTGATAGAGGGAGATGGAGACTAGAACCTCCCGCCGCTGCCCCCCAAGTCAAGCGTGACAGCGCGGGCCGTTGCGTGACTCGTGACGTCTCCGAGTCCTATAGGTGCAGCGGCTGGTGAGATAGTCGGTATCGCCTGGTTGCCTCTTTATTTTATTGGGGTATGCCTGGTAATAAACAGTAATATTTAATTTGTTGGAGACCACAAGCCAACTACGAGCTGGGAGGTACTGTGCTTCTCCGGACAGAGGAGAAGAGAAGCCTGGCCTAAGAGAGGGGTCGCTTCTGGGGTCCTTTCAAGCCCTGCGACCTCCGCCTCAGCGAGGTACTCCTGGATTCTGCAAGGGAGGAAGAGGTGGGATTTTTGGAGGTGAGTGTGGGCCAGAGTGTGGGTCAGCTCTCTCCATGGGACCCCGGCCTCTCATTCTACAGCACCTTGCTGGATCCCCTCACCCCACCTTAGCGAGAAAAATAGGAAGATCACACTTGAGAATTTTGAGCCCTGGTGTCACTGGGAAGGATGGACTGTGCCCCTTCCCTGTGTAAGAGTCCCAGTTTTGGTTGGTGGCCGTCTGTCTCCATGCCCTGTCTCCAGGAACTCAGCGGATCTGGCGGAGCTATTACTTGGGGAGTCCAGCGCTTGCCTTTTGGGAAGGGTCTGCAGATTATTTATGGGAATTAATTTCATCCGCCAAATCTCTGTGAGTTTAAAGGGATTGGAGTGGTCTTTCTGGATTTCCCCTTCCTTCTACCAGAGAAGTGGGGATTCAGGCTCATTTTGCCGCCATGCTTGTTTTTCATTTTTGTTTTGATCTTGGTCTCCATCCTGGACACCTCTTCAGCAAGCCCAGAGGCCCGGAGCTGACATTTTGGTAGCAAAAATGTTTTCATAAATAAAATGAATTGCCTTGGCCAAGGTCTGTTTAAAAACAGACTTGGAAAGGTGAGAGGGTTGGTTTTCTCCCCGTCTGGATGGTTGGAAGGACCTGGGCTACACCTCTGCCAACCTCAGGACGTTTCTCCTCCCTTCTTCTTAGTCTCCAGTTAGAGCCCAGGAAGAGAACAGGACAAAGGGGTGCAGGCTTAGGAAGCAGGACACGACCTCTGCCATTTATTCCAGGCCCCAGCACTGGGTGTCCTCCTTTGGGTCTGCTCAGGAACCTGCTGACAGTGTTTCTGCTTCCATTGACCTCTTCAGCCAACCCTGGATTTCAGAGTGGACAGCAGGCAGAGGCGTGCAGAGAGATGAAACCCCCGGCCAGTCCCAGTGATTGTTTGATTATTTGAATAAGGCTGGGCACTGCCTTGTGTACACCTCCAGCCAGGGCGGCCCGGTGGCCCTAGCAGGGGTGGGGGTGGGGTAGGGACCCACTGCAAGGATGATTGCTTGGCATCTTTGATCTTGGTCCTCACCCCAAGGCACCTTTACTCTGCGGTCACCCCCAGTGGTGGGGAGTGGGGGTGATGAATGGGGGCTGGGGAAGAGACAGCAGGGCAGCCGCCCCGGGTTCCTGCGGTCCTGTGGGGTCACTCAGCTTGGCCTGAGGTCAGCGCTGGGGAGAGAATGTGGGCGAGGTTGCAAAGGCCCGGGGCATGTGTGTGCTCCTCCTGAGGCTTCAGACTGGTTCTCTGCGGGCCCGGTCAGGTCATGGGGATTCCTGTACTTCCCGGGGAGCAGGGTTTGCCATGATTTGTGCACGTTTCTTGCAGCCGCCACCAGCTTGAACAGCACAGATGAATGAAGGTTGAGAAGGGGGGGGGAGGGGAGGGGCAATGGCCAGTTCTGTACTGGAGAGTCCCCTCGTGAGCTGAGTGTGTGGGAAATCCAGTGGAAAAGTGGTAGGTGGAAAAGGGAGAGAAGAGGAGAAAAGAGGGTGGGAGGAGGAGAGGGAGGGAGAGAGGCAAGGAGAGAGAGAGAGAGAGAGAGAGAGAGAGAGAGAGAGAGAGAGAAGCAGTGTGTGGTGGGAGCTAGTTGGACAGGCAATTTCAATACTTTGTAAGCATCAATGTAACTCAACGTCACTGCGCTCAGCAGCTCAGCAGAGCTGGCTTGTATTTCTGAGAGAGAGAGAGAGAGAGAGAGAGAGAGAGAGAGAGAGAGAGAGCTCTTACCTCGAATTCCGGAACTTAACCCTGAAAGCAGCGCTCAGAAAAGACTTCCACAATTCCCTCGGCTCCCCGCTCTCCCAACTTTTCTTCCCTGGGGGTGCAGAGGAGGAGGAGGAGCGGAGCTCTGGGGATTGCAAGGCTGGGCTGTGGGGGCTCCTCCAGCCGGCGCTCTGCATTTCTGGGAGCCCTGCTGGCGCCTGACAGCTTGGAAGCTTTCAGGGAGCGCGGCGAGCGGAGGAGGTGTGTGCTGGAGGTGGGCAGTCCCCGCCAGGCTGCAGCGGAGGCTGCCGCTTTGTGGGCGGCGGTATCCACCAGGCTGGGCGAGCGGTCCCCAGCGTAAAGCCCCGAGTCACCATGCCTGCACCCCCGCCGCACCGCCGGCTTCCCTGCTAGGAAGAGGAGGAGGGGACGTGGTGAATGCACCGGCTTCCCCGAGCGAGCGAGGTAACCGTCCTCGAGGTGGCTGGGGCGGCTCGGGTGGGAGCTCCGAAGCTGAGTCGGCTCCGGGGACGCGCGTGGCCGACTCGGGCCTCGCCTGCGCCTTGCAGAGCCCGGTGCGGAGGGTGGTGCGGCCCAGACCTTCCCGGGGATCCGAGCCCGGGAGGCGGCCGCAGCCGGGGAGCGGCGCTGGGGCTGGCTGGCAGGACGCGCGGCCTGGTTCTGTCAAAGCGCATCTTGTTCGTCTCTTGCAGCCCGGAGCTCCCCGGACCCTGCAAAGGGCGCGGGGTGGGATTCTATCCTCGGCCCGGAGTGAACCCGAGTGTTGGGGGGGCACCAGCCCTGCTTTCTTTTGTTATGAGCAGATTGCAGGGTTCCCACTGCCGCCTCCCCCAAACTGCGAGGGCCACGGGAAGGAAGCTGCTCGGGGATCGGGCCTCAGAAGCTCGTCCTCTGGCCCCATCTTTAGGCTTTGGACTACTGCAGACCAGGGTGGGAGCCGGTATTGGGCCCAGCGACTGCTAGGATCACGGTGGCCTTGGCTTGCATTCCTTTCCCGAGGTCTCTTCGTGCTTTGGGCCGGGTTGGTGGTGCGAATCCTTAGCTGGGAATGGCGAGCAGACTGAAAGATCGGAGAGTGAGCGGGCGGCAGGCTGCAGCCGCTCCGCAGCTGTGGTTTTGTGAGATCCGTCCTCTGACCCTGCAAAAGTGGGCCGTGCTCCCTACTGCAGTGGGCCTGGCGGGCAGTCCAGTACCTGCAACCAAAATTCATCGGGGAACGAGCTCGACCCCTCCAGCCTCCAGCCAGGCCTGCAGCTCAAGGAAGCTCTAGAAACATCTGTGCCTGGGCTAAAGACTGGAGACTGCTTACCCCGGTGCGTGGGCGCGCTCCTCTCTCCGACCTGAGGTTATTTTCTTCCTTGGGCCTCTGTGTGGCTAGTTGGTACTTATTTTTGACAAGTCATGCTTAAGTTTGGGGGGAAGTGGGGGCTCTTTTTAATTTTGAAGGGCTCTCTATTTTCCAGCCTGTATCTGATTTTTAAAAAAAGATGTCAGGAATTCTCTTTTGGAAACTGGTGTGTCCGTTCACACATCCTTTTTCTCCTCTGCTTTAGGTTTTGCAAGAGGCGGGTTATTTAGGGCATTGGGCCTGCTGCAGACACACGTTCCTTTTGTAGTTTCATTAAAAAGCTCTGTCTGCGTCCTGTACATGGACGGAGAAAAGAAATTCTCCAAAGGGCCTTGGGTTCTTGTTTGGTTGGGTTTTTGGTTAGTACCCAATGGCTTCCAAAAATATCTACGCCTTATCTTTATTGGCTCTTGCAAGAGTTCGGACAAATTTGACGGGCAGCTTGCTTATCGGGGGAGCTGCGCAGGGCAGGCGATGTGGGGCTCTCCTCTGGCTCTCATATGGGCCCTTTTAGAGAGGCTGTGCGTGGCCAGAAAGTAACAGTAATGATGATGATAAAAATAATTACGATGAGATGATGATGGTGATGGGACTTTCTACAGCCTCCTCCAGCTGGGAACGGAAGTGCTGGAAACCAGACCAGACTGTTCCCCACCATTGCTAGAACTGTGCTCTCCAAATCCCTCTCTCCTTCTCTCTTGGTCTCCTCTCAGAGCAGAACCTTGAGCGGGCACCGGCCTGGGGCGCACCATGGCTGACGCAGGCGAGGGCTTTGGCCTGGCGCACACACCTCTGGAGCCTGATTCGAAAGACCTCGCCTGTGATCCCAAAGCTGAAAACGCTTTAGGGGCCCCCAGCAAGTCTCCGGCATCTCCACAGGCGGCCTTCACCCAGCAGGTAAGAGAGGTCACTGCTGGCCACCCTTTGCAGAGGCCAAAGCCCAGCTTGGCTTCCCTTCTCAGTTGGTCCTGCAGGCAAAAAGAGAACCCCTCTCTCAAAGTATTGCCTCTTGTCTTGTTTCCCCACCGGATCCCCTATCCTGTATCCTGTCTCTCAAAACCCCAGCATATTGGCAGCCCAGATTCCATTACATTGCAATCTACTTTATTGTACCGATTATCTTTATGGCCTGAGGATTTTTGAGATCTATTTAAATTGTTTGGGGAAAAAAATCTCAATTAGCTGGCTATGTGGGGTCAGCTAACAATGGCCCAGGTAATTTTTTCCCTTCCCCTCACCGCACTAAGTACAGAATTGGCTCTGAGCCTCTTAGTAAGGACCCAGTCAGTAGTCGCCCCAATCCCGAGTGAGCGATGGCTTGACCCCTCTTTAGATCTGCCTAGCCTTCACCTCTGCTGCCGCCTGGGCCTGAGCACGCTGTACCATTTGTCTTGCCTTCGGGACCTGGTGGCTGTTGGGGAGCCCAAGGCTGGGTGGGGTGGGTGGGTACACAGGGAGGCTCACTGGGCTGGGCACCTCGCCTGGCTCTAACTCCCTGAACCTGGTGGCATTAGGTGTGCCGAAGGGGCCCTAGCAGACCCCGTGATTGTAAAACACGGAGCTCGGATCACAGGACACAGAGTAGTGTGACTTGAGCAGAAGGCGGCCTCCTTGGGATCTCCTTGTCCTCCGACTATTGTTCATAGATGCGTTCGCACTTCCAAAAAAGAAAATAAAAGCATGTGCATTTTTACAGAAGTAGCCATCCTGAGCACAGCTTGGGAAACTTAGACTCTTATAAGGAAAAGTGAATCCATTTTTCATGCTGTGACTACTTATTTGAAAACGAATACTTTGTATTATTTTTTGGGTCGATTTTTGTAAAACGACTTTTAGTTAAAAACGAAATGTTAGATGGCTCCAGCCATCACCTCGTATTATAATTCCTGGGAGTGAAGGGCCTTAGATATAGGGAGAGCCTGAGAAGTTCATTAAAATAGAGACATTGAGACTCTTTTGTTCTGAACTGCAGGGACATATGGTAATGTAAAGTTTTTAAATTGAAGATTTGATGTTCCTATTTGCTTCTGTGATTGGATTGCTTCTGGGATTGCTTCTGTGTGCTTCGCACACACACACTATTTGCACATTTGTGTGTTTTGTGTAAGTGGACCTCTGGTTGTCCCTACAAGAAGTTCCTGGGTGGGTTTTTGTAGGTGGAGTTTTTTTTTCTTTTTTTCTCGAAAGTATCTCAACCATATTGAAATTAAGCAGCCGGTGGGTCCTGAAGCCCCCATGCTTGATTGCTCTGGAGCTCTGTGTTGGTCGGTGGCATTAGATGACAGTACCCGGCGATGCTGTAGACTCTCGGAATTGTTGGATGGACTGACAACGGGGATTCCTGGGCAGAGACCAGGGTTGCCATCACGGGAGAAAACACTTTCTTCCACGGAGGAGAAGCAGTTTGTAGATTCTCGGAGAGTTTGGGTGAAGAGTGGCCCTTGGTACTAAGGCATGCCACTGTGATTTTTTTTTCCTGGTTACTGCAGGGCATGGAAGGAATCAAGGTGTTTCTCCACGAAAGAGAACTGTGGCTGAAATTCCACGAGGTGGGCACGGAGATGATCATTACCAAGGCCGGAAGGTGAGCTGGTTGGGGGGTAATCGTGGGAGAAACAGAAGGTGGCTGTAGAGGGGGCAAGGAGAAGGGGCGGAGAGAAAACAGAAAACAGAACAGAGGACAGAGGTGAGAGGAGGAAGGGAGAGAGGATGGAGAGGAACATTTTGTTTGACTCCATTATGGTCAAAGAGGCACCGGGAGAAATTTTCCTTGGTTCTCATAAGAATGGGGAAATACCCAAACCTTGAACTCCAGATACTGGGCATCTGTTTCTTGCACCTCAAATACAGAAAAATTCGAGCGTGGGGGCTGTGCTATCTGGATGGATTAGTAACGAGAGGAGGAGGAAGAAAGGAAAGAGGGAAAGAGAAAACAGAAGACGGAGAGACGGGCCTAAGATTCCCCGTCCTCAGACCTGAGCCCTCGCCCCCACCTCCACCTCCACCCCACCCCCACCCCACCCGCCCCGACCTTGGAGTGGTTCCAGGGTCCTGCCCGCCTGCCAAACCCTGGATTGTTGAATGTATTCGCTACCTCGTTCATTGTTTATAGAAAGCAGGCGAAGCCTTTGAAAGTGAACCGGAGCTCGGTGGAGCTCTATACACAGACACCGGTAAACACGGCGGCCTGGCCCGGGCTCCGCCGCAGGCTTCCAGACCAAGCTCGTGCGCCGTAGCTGGAAGCGTGAGCTGCTGGAGGAGGGGGCGGCGGGGTCCCGCAGCCGTGCGCCCCGGTGTGTGCGTGCGCGCGCGCGGGGACACCCTCCCCCGTCCCTGGCCCCGCGTCCTGTGCAGGAGGCCCCCAGGTGGCCCCGAGCAGGCGGGTGCAGCGGAGAGGCCGCGAGGCTCGGCCCCAGCCGCCGACAGTGTGAAGGCGCAGGGTGGAGCCCCCTCTCCAGACACCCCCAGTGCTGCAGCCGAAGCCTCGCGCAATAAACTGACACCAGTGACATTTATTATTATTTGGAATTAAACAATGTCGGCTCCCCCGCTCGGCCCACAGCCGGAGCGAACCAGGAGGCGCGCGTTGTGTTTATATCAAGGCTTTGAGGTCCTCTTCCCATTCCCCGCCGAGGAAGCAGAGACCGAGGCGGGCGCTTTTCCCCCACGCCCGAGCCCAGAGCATTTAACTATAAAAGGCCTGCGAGGTCCCGGCGCGGCGCCTCCGCCTCCGCCTGCAAGCGCGCGCGGGGCGGTGCACACTCCAGGCCCGGGCTCCGCGGCTCCGGGGCAAGGCCTCGGGCGCCCTTCCCGCCAGCGCCGGGCCAGCAGAGGTCCAGCCGCTCGGCCTTTCGCCCGGGCGGCCTCCAGCGCTCCGATTTCGGGGGCGCCCTCCTGACCAGGCCGGGAGGGAGCTGGGAGCGCGCCAGGCTGCGAGCTCAGGGTGCTGTGGACCGCGCCCCTGCGCGCCACCAGCTTTTAAATCCCTGCAGCCCAGCCCAGGCCCCAGCTCCTACCCAAACCTAATCTGGATAGGTTTGGGGTTTCTTTGCTGAGGGCCGAGGATTTTACGCCTCCTAGGCAGAGTGCTAGGCACCTGGGGGGAAATGGTGGAACGTTTAGGGATAAAATCCTGCTAAAGACCCGTGATCCGGGCACCAATCGGATTAAACTGGGGATCGCCCTCCAAACCACCCGCTAATCCCCAGCGCTGGAGAGCAGACGCAAATGCACACCCACGTGCCTCTCTGGGTACGCACAGGGTGGCGTTGGAGGACCCCGAGGGTGCTGGAGAACAGACAGCACCTGTCGGGGTGGAGGAAGTGGCTGGCTCCTAATGAGTTTCATTACCCTGAGGGATAGATGCAGGCTCAGAGAGCATTTACTCAGCGCGGAAAGGGGGTTCCTTTGCAGGCCACCTCCGAAACTAGGGCGCTCTAAGCTGCAGCCTAGTGTCTGTTTTCCTTTTAGGCACCTCCACCTCCATCTTTCCCAGCCTTTGCCGTCTCCCCGTAACTTCAGGGGAAACCCGGGGTGGATCACAGGGAGAGTGGAGTGGGGCCAGTTTTCCCTGCTTCTCAAGCAGTTGCTGTTAGCGTTACAGATCGTGGATGCGCTCTCCAGAATATTGGCATTAATCCCTTCCCTGCTCTCTCCTTCGCCCTGGCCCCCTCCCAGGCGGATGTTTCCCAGTTACAAAGTGAAGGTGACCGGCCTCAATCCCAAAACCAAGTACATTCTCCTCATGGACATTGTTCCCGCCGATGACCACAGATACAAGTTCGCGGATAATAAATGGTACGCGTCGTGGCACAAGTGACCGACTCCTACTGTGCGCTCCCGGCTTGTGGGCGCCTTACCGTCCCTCAGCTGAGGCTTGGGGGGAATGAGCTGCATCTCCCATCGCTGCACCTATGGGTTGTAGGTTTTAAAGAAGTGTACCGTTAGCAAATGCCATATGTATTTCTGGAGGCATAAAACCATTTATGGCTATTTTTTATGAGTTCCTCGCTTTGAACATGCCTTTTTTCTTCTTTTTTATGAAATTACAAAAAACCGGCCCACGGTATTTGAGTTGAAAAGGCCAAAGAGGAGAAGCCCATTCCACAGGCTCCTTTGCCCCAAGGCTGCCAATAGTAGGAGGCTGGAAAGGGAGACCCCCCAGCCCCCCAAAGCACTTAAGGAGGCCAGACATCCGGACACTGAGGACTGTTTTGGGCCGCGGGAGGCTGCTGGCACTGGGGAAGGATGGAGATAGAAGTTGGAGCTGGGCTGGGGGCTTGGCTGGTCACACGCAGGGCACTCGGGGGGATCTGGGAGACCCCAGAAAGGAGAGGCAAGGGCCAGGCCACCGTGGGCCACCACCAGTCCCTTAATTGCAGCTACCTCTCTAGGTCTGTGACTGGCAAGGCCGAGCCCGCCATGCCAGGCCGACTCTACGTGCATCCGGACTCGCCGGCTACCGGGGCGCACTGGATGCGGCAGCTGGTCTCCTTCCAGAAGCTGAAGCTCACCAACAACCACCTGGACCCGTTCGGGCACGTGAGTCCCTCCTCCCTCCTCGCACCTCGCTCCCGTGTCCCCTGCTCCTCCTCCTGGCTTCTTTAAAGTCCTTCCATCTTTCTGATCTCTGATCTCAACTCCTTTCCTCTTTCCTTTCTCCTCCCTTTGACATCTCTTCTGTCTTTCCTTGCCTCCCGCTCCTCCTGACTCCATTCAGTTTCCCTTCTTTACCATCTTCCTGCTAGGAGGGCGCATTCTCTCCTCCGGTTCTGCTGGCCTGGGGTTTAAGTGTGGGGCCCCAGCGCCCAGCCCTATGTCTTTAGTGTGGCTGCATGGGGGTCATGGGTGATGAAGACTGAACCCTAAGATCTGAGGAACATCTCGGGGCGTAGTCCTATGAGAGGTGAGGGGCAGAAGCTGTTTCCATCTGGTCCCTTCCCAGGCCCGCCTTATTAATTACTATTGGAAGGGCCTGTGGAGAGGGAGAGAGCCCATGTCACCTGCCCAGTTCATTTGCCATTTCCAGGTGGCAGATGGGCTCAGGGGAGGCAAACCCTGGCACCAGTGCCTCTTGTAGCTGGATGCTGTTGGCAGATCTATTTTTTTGTCTCTGACTTTCTCCCTCCACCCATGGCTGGAGCACACAAGCCAGGTTCCAAGAGAGCGACTGGGTAAATTCCCCAACCATATGCAGGAGGTCCAGTGTACAAGGCCCCCCTGCTCTGCTAGACAGTCTGCAGCCTTCAGTGGATTCTCAGTAGGGTGTCACTTCCCTTTCACAAAGAAAATGAAGAACAGAACACTGACTCGGAGAAAATATCCTTACATCTCTTCACTGGAAATACTCATTGGAAAAACGCAGTCTCAGAATTCCATGTATCATTCTTGGCTTGGTGTCCCCATCCTGAAAATGGGTCTATTGCCCGTGGCAGCACAGAAAGGAAGGAGAAGGTGCTCAGGCTTTGCAAAGAGTCATGCAGAAGGGAGGCGACTGGCCCTGGGTCACAGTTTGTATTTGGGAACAACGATTTCAGGTTAGATCGCTCTCATTCTGAAGGCCACTCTTGGCCTCACCAGGTCCTCTCTCCAGAGAGAAGGGCAGCCTGGTGTGGTCACCATTCTAGGGAAGGCGGGGCTGGGGCATGGAGTGGACGCTGCCCTGCAGCGCCCTGCACCATGGGTGGTAGGAAGGTTGGGTGACTGGCCTGGGAGGGGAAAGTCCCATTCCCCTTCTGTGCCTCCTGGAGGGCTCCGAAGGGTGCAGATGGCTTGCTGGGGGACAATGTGTGGAGATGACCTCCTGCTTCCCAGGGTGTCAGCTGGCCACGGCAGCTCCCCTCCAGGTTCAAAGGCCTGGGAGGAATGGGACCATTGCATAAAGGTCCCTTGAAATTCTCCCTGCTGGTGTCCGCAGGGCACCAGGCAACACAGGGGCAGTGGCCTCCGTGGAACCCCAGCCTGGGAGGGGGACCAGACCCACCACCATCTCTGCTCCTGTCTCCTCCCCTCTCATCCAGTTTCCCCTCTTTCCTCTGGTTTCCTATCTGTGCCTCTGAGGTCACTCTGGGGTGGACACCTAGGGAAGGGGCAGAGCCCTGCCACCAAGCTGGAGGCACCCTTGCGAGTTTCAGGTCCTTCTGAATAGCTTAAGACAAGAGGGAGCAGTGCCTGACCCCAGACTTTGGGCTTTTAATTCAGCCCTCTAATGAAATTAGGAGCCATTAGATCACTCGCACGCTGAAGTCTCCGCCCTGTCCCCAGCCATCAAAGCAATTTGCTTAAGCCGGGACGATGGCTGCACTGGCTGGGGGCTGTGGCGGCCGGCGGGGCCCCTCTGCGTCTCTCTGTCGCCACGCCACCCCGGTCGGCCGGCGTCGCTATCGGCCAGGGAGGCGGCCCGCCCCGGCAGCCAGAGATTAGAGCCTGAGGCCAGGTCCCGGGCCTCGGGGCTGAGGGCTTGCACACCCCACCCCCACTCCCACTCCCGGGGTCTTCAGGGTTGGTCCCGGAATCCTGGCCCAGGGTTCACGATGCAAATCAAAGACACTGAGACAAACCCGCTCCAGTTCACCCTCCTTGGGGGGAGAAACCAGGGCAGATTTTTCAGGCCCTTAAATGCAGTGATTCAGAGGATAAGTACCAAAGCAGTTTGGGTAAATATTAGTGTTAATAGCCTTCCGGGAGCATCCAAATGCAGGCGTCAGGAGCACAACAAACCCAGTTTTATTAGGAGTGATGCTCGTCGCCAATGAACAGTCCTGACTCGGGAGAGAATGGGCAGCTGGAAAGTCCTCTCCTGTCTCCTCCTAAGAACAACAGCGGTTATAATAACAGGACAGCGTCTGAGATTATGGGGGACCTCACTGGTCCCCAGCTCGGAGCGATGGAAAGAAGGGAGAATATTCCCCCCAGAAGCAGATAGAGCAGTTCCCAGCCGGGAGATAATCCTGGCAACATTGATAAAGTCGGAGAAAGTGAACCTGGGGGCAGATAGCTCCTGCTTTGATGGGGCGGGGTTCTGGGGTGCTTCCTCCTCACATCTCACTATGCTTAGCGGCCAAACTGGGTCCCCGCTCCTTGCACTATCTCCCTTTCATGGACTCCACTTTTCGTGTTCTCTAGACAAAGACTCTGAGATCTGAGGTCTGTCCCCCACCCAGCAGCTCCCAGGCTAAGGCTGGGCAGCAGTGGCGCTGGTGAATTTTCTTCAGGTTTTACAAATCCTTCGTGTTTCCCCTTGTGTGCGCATGTGCGCAGGAGGTTATTTGTCTGTTTACATTTTTTGTTTGTTTCTTGCACCAGTCATTCAAAAGTTGCTGGCCCTGTTTCTCCCTGCTTGCTTGACTCTCCTTGGGAGGCAGGAAGTCCCTTATGCAGAGAGTTAATTTATTAAGCAAACTTTATTAAGAATTCTGATTTACTGCTTTGTGTGCCTTGGGTAGATTCCTGGAATATTACCCTGGCCCCATTTTTTTTTTTTTTTTTGGTTGGAAATTGTCATTTCTGAAATGTTTCTTTTTAATGAAACCACTGGCCCCTTTTCAAAACAGGAGGGAAAAAATGACTCCTTTTTCACGCTAGCCTGTGTAACCAGGCTGATTCCTGGGGTGCAGGGAGAGAGGAGGAGCAGGGATTTATTTGGAAACAAAGGGAGTTTTGACTTTCGTACAATCTCATTTTCTTTATTATTTCTAGATTATTCTAAATTCCATGCACAAATACCAGCCCAGATTACACATCGTGAAAGCAGATGAAAATAATGGATTTGGTTCAAAAAACACAGCATTCTGCACCCATGTGTTTCCGGAGACGGCGTTTATCGCGGTGACTTCCTATCAAAATCACAAGGTAAGCCTCCTGCCTGGCGGGCTGCACCTGGGGCCACCTGCTGGTTCATGCAGATTTCAGGGTCCCCACTGGAACCCCGTGCTTCAAGAAGAGTTCCATTCCTTTAACCTGTGTCAACGACAGCGACTTCTACCCTTGGGGTCTGGGAGCTGCACGGGGACCAAGCCACTCCCTAAGGACTGCAGTGGGTTGTCCTGTATCCATGGGCTTGATATGACTGCCCCCCCCCACACAGGTGCATACTGGTTAGAAACCAACTTGCAGCCAGGTAGGGTGGACATACCTGTAACCCCAACATTCTAGGAGGCTGAGATAGGAGGATCACAAGTTTAAGATCAGCCTTAGGCAGCTTAATCTGACCCGCTTTAAAAAAAAGTGGAGGGGCAATGTAGCTCCATGGATCCCTGGATTTAATCCCAATTAATGGAGAAAAAAATCCATCCCCCCACTCCAAACAACCACACATTTTCCCCCATGCATAGGTGCTACTTGATTACATGGCTGCCCCAGGCTAGGTCAGGTGGCTAGAGCTCCCCTTTCCTGAAGCTGCACTTTCTGTAAGGCTCTATGTCCTTCCTCCCTCCACTGTGCTTGTTGGAGACATAGGAAAGGGCAGGGGGCAGAGTAGTGGGGGCAAAGTATGGGTCCGTGGGGTGAGGGAGAGCAGGGGGCAGCTTACCCAGCTGGATGTGGGATGAGGGCCTCCTCCTCCCTTCTGTCCCCTCCAGGCTAGTCATGGTGGGGGGAAGCTGCCCAGCACAGAGCCTGGCAGAGAGGCCAGGGAAGGATCAGAGAGGCAGGGTTAGCACCCTAAAGACATCAGTCACCCCATGAAGTCACTCTGGTGTGGGCTGGATTGCAGACAGCGCCCCTGCAAGGCCAGGGCTGTGGTGTCACACTTCGGGTAGTCCCTAAAGTCAGGTTGTTGGTGACCAGGCCCAGCTGTGGGGGACATTCCCTTCCAGATCTTTGGAGACCTTCTTTCCTTCCCCTTCCCAAACAGTTACTTTTCAACAGAGAAGGAAAACTTTTCTTTTCCTGAGTTCTCTCCCTTCGCTGAAGTAGGAAGAGCAAAGCACTGCGGTCCAACACCCATCCTAAAAATTGTAAAACTATTCTGGGTCCTTTTGAGTCTGACTTGCAGAAAACTTTGCTCCGAGGTGGCTGCAAACCCATGTTTAACTTTATGGCAGTGGTCACCGGAAAAAATAGCATGCAGGAAGCTCAAGGTTCTTAGAACCTTCCAGACCTGGCATAGGGTCCCAAAATACATCCGTCTTTTGTTTTTTTTCCTCCCAAGAAAGTCTACCTCCAGAGAGAGAAAGGGCAGAAAGAGGTAGACATATGACATGCAATGCATATATCTGTGTGTGTGTGTGTGTGTGTGTGGGTGCTCAAGTCCTTTGGGGGTGATTTCTAAGCTCTGTGAAGTTCTGATCTTGGCACCCATTAGCTGTGGGCGGGCCTGAGGGAGCTCTGCCTCTCTCTCCTCCTTACCCCTTGTTTACTGGTCAGTTGAGACATCATTGTCATTAGTAACAGGCAGCATATAGAGTACACCATCTAGGATTCCTGCCACTATTTGTGTGCTCTGAGTAGAGCTCAGGGCCTCCCAGATTTCAGAGATACCTCTATACACCTTGGCAGAAGTGTATGATTCTAAAAGGTCTGATTTCGTGTTTGACATACCTACCTATACATCCAGACCAGGGAAACTATCACCCAAACTCACTATGGTATCCAATGCACCTCGGATTCGTAGGGATGCCTCCTCTGATGTGTATGTTTAGGGATCTGTGTGCATGAATGCATGCATAACCATCACAGGCGCAGCTCAGGCCATTGTGTGTCTCTGTGTTCATCTGTGAAACTGTGTGTCTGCAGCTATGCGTTTGTGTATGTTTGATGACCGCACCAGCTTTGCCTTTATGGTTTGGACCAGAGTCTAGCTGAGCTGCATAGAAAGGTCTTTTTGACCAGCCTGGCAGACTCCTTGCCTCACAGAAGAGGGATTGCATAGGAGGGCTTTCTGTCTCCCTGCCCCATGTGAACTTTGCCTCCGCTTTGTTCCTGTCCCGAAGGCACCTGCTCTCTGTGAGGGGCGAGCCTGCAGCAAGACCCTTCCGCAGCCTTGCCCGTGTGGATATACGATGTGTGATTTCACGAAGCAGGCCAGGGCTGCGTATGATTTGTAGACTCAAGTCTCCTGGCTTTATTGTCCCACCTGGGCGAGGTGTTGGGACTCGTGACTACATGGGTTGAAGCCAGCTGAATTCTTACTCAGTGTAGGCTGAGGGGTGCACACTGCTTGGATTCAGATCTACTGGGCTTTGGCTTTGCTTAACTCAGTTTCCCTGTCTCTAAAATGGGGATAATAAAAGCACCCACTTCCTGGAACTGTGAGGATTAACTGAGATGATCTCTGGCTCACTACCTGGCTGATCGGTTTATTATTAGCAGAGCAGCACCATTCAAAGTGCAGACTCTGGAAAACTCTTGGCCTACTACTAGGGTCGCTCCCTGGCTATTTTAGAATCTAAAACACTAAGATGTTCAGTAAGTTTTTATTACTGTGGTTGAAAAATAATTACAAATGTTAGTCCTTGTGGTTTCTTTGGTGCATGCCCTGAACACGCCGTTAGTTCAGGGACTATTTGTTTAGTGTTTTGCTTTGGATAGGGGAATGGGGGAAGAAAAAGCGATCCGTGCGATTCAGGTGTCAGGGCAGCTCTGGCCAGCCCTGGCCTCCATATTTTTGGGTCAAAAGATTCCGTGCATTCAGGATGCTTTTTCTGCACATGGACACAGGTCTCAGGTGGGGAGGGAGGTTTGTGGCAGGGTCTGCACACCTGGGACCATCGGGCTTCTAATGAGGAGATGGATTTCCTCAGTCCAGCTGCGAGCCCACGATGGATTTGGGAGTTATTTCCCCAGATGGTTGACAGCTTGAAAAAGATATTTAAAAACTGGAATCTTCCCCAACGACGTTTGTGCTGTGAAACACGTTTTTGTAAAGTCCTCGCTGGACTTGTCAGCAGCTCTTGGAGCAAACCCTAGAAATATTTAGGTGTTAAAAAAGTCATGTAGGTATTTCATTTCCCGCTCTTGCAACAATGCCCGTGTATGCGAGCATGTCTGTCCCCCGATATTAACTTACTTTCCCATCAAAAGGCATTTTCCTCCTGCTTAAATCATTGTGTATGGAGCCCATATTTATGAGGTATGAGCTTTCGGGTTGGGACCAGGAAATGAACCCCTAATAGAGAGACATAATTAAGATGTTTGGCTCTCTCGAAGTTTTTTTTTTCAAAAGCAAGAATTCACAACAATTATTCTCATTAAGTTTTACAACCCCTGTCTCACCCGTTGGAACTGGTATTTGTATTTGTTTCCCCACCGTGTACCCCTCCCCTGGATCTCCGTTCTTATGGTCAATTTTGGAGAGACTACGTTTGTCTATGAATAGGAATCCATTGTGGTGGAGGCCTTTGGTAGACCTGGGCCATCCAGGTGTGTCGGTCTGGATAAACATGGTAGCCTCTTAGGAAGGGAGTTTTGTAGGCAGGGTTATAGTGGCAGTGGACACGTACAGAGGAAGACAGTGTCTCACCTGCAGATACACTTGCAGATAAACATTGCTCAGGGACAATTCTTGTGTCTTCTGGGCTTCTGCTGCATCTCCAAAAGACCTGTGTAAGATCAGCACACCTGAGCTGTGTTTGGGCAAATAGTGCTTTTGCTATGCAGATGGGACTTCACAAGCTGTGGTGATTAGCACAAGAATTAGGCTGGGAGTGTAGTCCAGGGGTGGAGAGCTGGGTTTTACCTCCATCTCTGCGGGGTGGGAATGGGGGCAGGTAGTGATCAACCTGTGGGAGGGTAAGGCGGTGGTGTGGGTATAAGGTTTGCACTGATAAAATTACAGCTCACACTTTTTTTTCTCAGTGCCATTTTTGGTCCTCGATTCTTGATAGAGTAGTGACATTAGGGACCAGACACTAATCAGCCTTGAATTTTCATCCTCATCCGCTGCAACACTTGCAAGGACCAGGATGGAGTCAGGCTGAGGATTACCTTTGCCCCTATTGAGCTGATCTGATTTTCGCTTGACCTTTTTGAGTTCATTAAACTATTCTTTTGTCATTCCTTTGCTTGTATTTTACTGTGGCAAAATCTGAGCGGAAAAGAAGCCCCACAGGTCACGGGCCGTTAGATTCTTAAACCGTGACTGGACTCAGGAGTGCGCATCTTAAAGACAGTTTTCAAAGGGGGTTTTTCAGATCTCTCTCCTTGTGCCAGAGTCAGGGCAAGATCAGAAAGCTGCAGGAGTGATCCCGGTTAGAAACAGGGAGGAAGAGAGGGACGGAGAGATGCGTATCATACCCGTGCACAGGCGCGCACACACACTCACACTCTTAAAGATATTTTTATGTACATATTATAAAAGAGCAGTTTTGGGTTCACAGCAAAGTTAACCAGGAAGTACAGAGAGTCCCCCTTTCCTCCCCGGTATGTGCAGCCTCTTACGCCACCAACATCCCCACCAGAAAGACACATCTGTTTCCGATATCATCACCATGCCCTGAAGTCCAGTGTTTACACTGAGGTCCCCTCTCTGTGTTACCGGCTCTATGGGTTTCGCAGGGGGATGCACATCTCCTGCTTGCTGTAATAGAAGGGAGGGCCTTTCCCTGCCCTAGAAGGCCACTCTGTGTCCATCTGTCCAGGCCTCCGTGCCTCCCTCCATCCTTTCTTCCAACTCCTGGCTTCCTTAACTGTCCTCTGTAGTTTCGCCTTTTTCTTTTTTTTTCAGAATGTCATTTGGTTGGAATCATAAAATGAATTTAAAATGTGAATTATGCATCTATTTTTTATTATGAAAATGCTCTTATGTGTGCATGTATTTAGTTTACTCTTGGCAGTGCCGAGGATCACGTCCAGGGCTCTGGAGGTCTAGGCAAACCCTGTGCCACAGACCTGCGGTCCCCACCCACATTTAGTGATTTTGTGTTCATCAGAGTTTGAAGCAAGTCTTTGAGCACGTCCCTTGCAGGAAACAGACGATAGCGGGTATCTCATGTGGACCAATTACAGCGCGCATTTCGTTAATGACCCTTACTACAGAGGATTTTAAAGTCCATATACTACTGGGGCAGATGAGATGATTTTTCTGGGATATTCAAAGATGATAGAATCGGGGGGTGGGAAAGCTGCTTTGGTATTTTTTTGAGGCAAGGTCTTGCTATGTAATTCAGGCTGGCCTTGAACTCATTAAGTAGCCCAGGCTGCCCTTGAACCTGCAACAGTCCTCCTGCCTCAGCCTCCTGAACGCTGGAATCACAGGTGTGCACCACCATGCCTAGCTTAGTTCTATTTTTGATTACCTTTATACTCTTCTATCAGAAAGAGAAAGAGAGAGATGGACAGACAGACAGAAAAGGAGACCAACAGAAAGACAGAGACGGAGTGTTAATTTCAGTTCAGTGTTAGTTTATGTTAAATGTTTCTCTAAAAGAGACTGATCTCTTTGTTCAGCCAGGAGCAGGCAGGCTGTGGGGTTAGCGGTGTCCATGACAGCCAGTGGAGAGACTTAGATACAACCATTTTCTTCTTATTGAATGACAAGCGATCGGAGTTGGTCATATGGAGAAGTGGTTTAATATTTCCAGCTAAAATAAATTTGAGTAAAAGCAGTTTGATTTAAATAAAAATATGAAGCCAGTCTGCATGCAGGTGCCCCATAGCTGTGATGGCCATGTGGAGAGGGAACCCTGGATGATAAAGTTGAGTCTTGATGCCCTGGCATCTATAATTGAGCATGAAAACTCAATTTACACTCAATCTTAAGGAGTTCCAGTGAACTCCATAAGGCTGTGCTCTGTCATCTAGATCTGCTACTGCGCATTCACACTAATATCATATGTGTTGATGGTTTAAATTAAAATGCTGGGCCCAGAACCAAAACTGGCAAAAAGATCCCATTCTGTTGCTGAGCTCTGTACACTGCAATGCTGATTTCTTGGAGAGAATGATGGCTCTTTGGCACTGTGAGATAGCTATCATACACGCAATCATGGTAGGTGGTAGTGTTTATTTTATTGAACACCATTTTCTACCTGGCTAACAACTCATGGGTGAAGCATGGCAGGATTTTGAAAAGCAATAATCAAGATGTGTTGATTAATGGGAGATACCTGCCGGGTAGTCAGCATCCGCGCCAGGAGACACAACTTGCCGAGGGGGAGACAGGGCAAATGTGCAAGCCTAGATTGTGTTTGAAATACAACACACCAAATTTACACACACACACGCACATGCCCCCAAGTGCATGCCTGCAAATCCAGCTGGACCAGTGCAGAATAAGATGCAAATTAATGAGCAAACGAACCCAGATTATTTTCCCTTTTTAACTGCAGTTTGATCTGGGGTACTGTTCAAAGCCTCTGCTTGAGGGGAGTGCTGGGTCCCTGTGTGACTACTTAACCTTTTTCCCATTGCCTGAGGCCGCATTGTTGTGACACTGATTAGGTTGTCTTGTAGCCATCCAGTGTAAATGTGTGCACCACCGCTCTCCCTCCTTCCTTTAGATCACGCAGTTGAAGATAGAGAATAACCCGTTCGCCAAAGGCTTCCGGGGCAGCGACGACATGGAACTGCACAGGATGTCAAGAATGCAAAGGTAGGAAGACGAGTGCCCGGGACCTCCTCCTGCACATGTGTTCCCCACGTCACCCCCAGCTTGTCCGCCACCAGCCTCCCTGTGCAAAGGCCAGACACGGAGGATGAGGGGAACCCGGGACCCCTCTGGTGTACCCACTTCCTGTGTGGCTGACCCCATCAGGTGACCTGGAGGGGACCCTTGCAGCAGAGAGAGGAGCCGGGGCAGATGGGCTGGCTGTGTCTACCCAGGGAGCCAAAGCCATGCTGCCTCGCCTGCTATGGGCCCCCTTTCTCTTTCTCTTCTCCTTCCCATAAGTCACAGCCGATGAAGGCTTTTCTTTCTGGCAACAACTCTTGGGTAAATGAGAGAGAAGTTAATGAGTTGATTTCCTGGGGGTGAAATACAGACCAACTTGACACCATATGGTACCCAGGGCACTGAGGGACTGGAAGCCGGTGCTGAAAATTGCTCGGTATTTTTACATATCCTGTGGTCACAGTCGCTGATATGACAAATAGAAGGGGCTGTAGCGAATGAACAGAGTGGGAATTGAGTCTGATTCGAAAGGATTGAACAAGTACGGCCAATTTTGTCAAATGTTCTCTTTACCTCTTGATAGGCTTCCAAAGTAACTCTCCATATGGTGGGAGACTTGCAAATAACATCTTGATCCCTTAGATGCCTTGACCAAGGGTTTTTTCCCCCCTCCTCTCTTCCAACTTTTGGTGGGGTTAGTGTTTCAAAAAAACAAAAAATGAAGACATTTAGGATGTTTTTCCTTAGGCTTGTTGGAAGACACAGAAAGAAAGAGCCAGACAGTCCGACAAACATAGCCATTCAAAGAGAAGCGACAGACCAAAGACAGAGAAAGGCTGCGGCCTTGTGGTCTGAACACTGGGTGTAGGGCTGTGTGCTGGGGAGATTATTTTTAGATAGCGGGCTTCCCAGACCTAATTTTGCAGGCTTCTGAAAACTAAGTCGGAGCTTACCTTCAGGTGTGACCGTGTGTGGCACATGCCTCTGCATTCCTGGGTTCGTAATTGGTTTCTCTTTCATGATTGTGGATTCATAAGGTGATTTCTTGTAGCAAAAATAACCAGTTTTCCCAAAGTATTATTTAAAGTTTTTTTCCCCTCCTGTTATAAGTGTCATTTTGAAACTGAAATTAGATTTAGTCCTAGGATGGGCTGGGGGTTTAACTCAGTGGTATAAATGCCTGCCTAGCAAGCGCAAGGTCATGAGTTCAATCCCCGGTACCTCAAAAAGAAAAAAAAATTAACCAGATTTAGTCCCAGGGTCTGTGGAAAACCATGACAACAAAAATCACATCTCAGAGTCAGCCACCTGTGGTGATGCATACCTGTGATGTCAGTATTCGGGAAGCTGAGGCTGGACGATCCCTGGGAGGTCAAGTCCAGCCTGGGCTACATGGCAAGACCGTGTCTTTAAAAAAAAAAAAAATTCGCATCATAGCTGAGAAGAATCTAATTATCTGTGGTCCTTAGATTTCCCAGTTTTTGTTGTTAGAGTGTTTAGAATTCCGTCCTCTTCTGGCAGCTATTTGCTGTGAAGGCCGCTGAATCATTGCCAGACAAAGTCCCAGCCCAGTGGTACATGGAGAGGGACAGGCTGGGCAGGGACAGGCTGCCCTGCTGCCACCAGCCTGCCACCGCGGGCTCCATCCTCTTTCTCTCCTTCCTTCCTCCCAGCAAGGTCATGAGCAGAGGGACAGTGGATTTACAGGCCGCCTGTCACCCTCCGCTTAACCATCTCTGTGTGCTGCTGAGTTCATGTCTTTTTGGGGGTGGGGATGGAACCCAGGGCCACCTTCTCAGCCCAGCTCAGCCGTGCCCCCTCCCCTCTGCTACCAGCCGGATAGCCCAGCCCCCACCCTCCTCGCCAGCCACGGCCTCCTGACGGATTTAGCCCTGCCCGCTGCCTCTTCTCGGGACATTTTCCAGGCTGCTGCCACGCAGACCCCTGGGAAACACACTCTGGAGGGGCCACTTCACAGCTGAGAGCTCTTCTGGGGCCGCTGGGGTCCTTCAGGACAAGGCCCAGGCTCCTCCTGGCTGACCACGCCCCCTGCATCCGGCCTGGCTGTGTCCTAGGTTTGCCCCTCACCCTGTCCCTGCTGAAGCAGAGGCCCTGGACCTGGGTGCTTTCCTTGGCGTTTAGCCCTGGCATGCAAATTCCAACTACCTCAGACTCCCAGCTCAGCCCCGGCCATGTCCTACCCATCCTTGGCCTCCTTCTGGCCACAGGCAGCATGGTCAGCAGGTGTCTCCTTCCAGAACTGCACCTGGCTTTCCTGGGTGGGCCCAGGCCCCAGCCCTCAAAAATCCACAGGGCAGATGTCAGACAGGAAGGGAGTGCTAGGCAGGGGCTGTGCAGATGAGCACACCGGCTGGCAGATACCTGTACTTCTCAGTTCTTCTGTGATGTCCCTGGGGAAAGCGAGATGGGGGGAGTGGCTTTGAGGTCAGAGGAGCCCGAGGCCAATGCTGAAGCTGCACTTATCACTATGTGACTTTGGACATGCCACCTAACACAGTGGACCCTCAATGTCCCCCTCTGTAAAATGGGCACGAATAAATACAGCCTCCAATGTCCTGGGTTTGGTTAAGAGTGGAGTGAGAAAACACCTCTGCAGGGTTTAAATCTTAGCCCACACTCATTAAAAAGAATTGTTTTTCTTCCTTTTTTTTTTTTTTTTTTTTTTGAGATGGTGTCCCTACATAGCCCAGGCTGCCTCAAACTCAAGGCAACACTCCTGCCTCAGCCTCCTGAGTGCTAAGATGACAGGTGTGTGCCACCACACCCGGCTCACACAGTAAAACTGAGCTGATCTGGAGGAAGACTCCCTGTCACTGCCAGTGTTGCCCTTGCCTGGAATTTATTTTAGGCCCTTGTCTCCCCCTCCCCCCTCCCCAGGTCGCAGCAGGTAGTGACAAGTAGGGACTGTGGCTCTGCGGCCCTGGCTCAGCCGTGATAACAGTGAGGCAGGCTCAGTGCTAATCTTGCAATCCTGTTTCCTGTCCCCCACACACCCGGTGACAGCTGCCTGGAGGAGACAAGCGAGAGGGATGAAATTTGCAACAACTGGAACCAGGAGAGGGCAGCGAGGTGGGATTTGAAGGGCCGAGCCCAGTTCCCAGAAAGAACTCTCGCATTTGCTTGGCAAATGTTGGGCCATTCGCCCTGCTCTCTTGGCCCAACTTGGCTCTTGTGTTTGGTAAAGGCCGAGGAGCTCTTAGATATATTTCCAGCCTTCATTGATGCTTTCCGGTTACAGAAGCGATTTCTACCTTCTGTAAAAATGGGAGACCCCAGACAAGCACAGGGGAGACAATGAAAGCAGCTAAACGCCCTGGCTGCAGCTACCTGGAGCACGCGCCTGCAGAGGCTCACCTGGGACTGAATACCGTGTCTGGACAATCAGCGTTTGCTAATGTTGGTCCCCTGGACCGGTGACCAAGGCGACAATTGTAGATGGTGCTCAGATGCACGAGTGTGCTGGTGCTGTGATTTCCTAGACGATGTGGCTCAGAATGAGACGTAAGGAAGGAGGAAAAGAAGGGAGAGAAAGAGGGAGGAAAGGTGGATTGATGTAAAGCTGTTTGAGGGGGAGATAGTAACCTCTGAGTGGCTGGCAGATCTGGTGGCAAGCTTTGGGGAACCTTGTGAAGCTAACGTGCACACAACAGAAATCCAGCAGCTACATGTGCAGGTGGAACCTCCAGGCCTCCTGGCACCCCGTGCTTTCATGGAACATGCCTGCCTTTGGGCTTTATGTCAGTCATGGAGGTCAAGGACTCTTCCTAGCTGTGGAGGGGGTGGGGCCAGGTGATTGTGAAGAATCTGCTGGGAAGAGGGGTCCTCTGAGCTGGTGGCAAAGCGGCATCAGGGCTCCCCAAGTCTGGGCCCTGGGGCTGGAGTCAGATTCCAAGCATCTCAGGAAACCAGCTGGGGTGTGTGTGTGAGCATTGTGACAGGGGGTGCAATGGGAGTTGCTGTGTAGCACAGAATGCTGGAGAGGTGGGGATGCAGGGAACAGCATCTAGTCCAACTTCCCCCATCATAGAAGGGGAAACGGAGGCCCAGAGACTTACCGAGTTTTATCCAGTGCTCGCTGTATGCTGGGCACTGGGGATTCTGACCCCAGTCAAGGCACACAGGATGAAGGACTGTGGATGGGGAGCAGGTCTTGGGTTTGGGGTCCAGGCTGCTATCTTGAGAGGCCCTGAGGCTCCCTTGACCCTCTGTTCCCCCATCTGTAAATGGGGGCTCATGATTGAACCCACCTCCAGGGCCCCTGCAAAGACAAAGTGAGGTGACTATGTGTCGTGTGAGTTAGCTTTCCATCACTGGAACACAGTACCCCCAGGAATGAGCTTGAAAGGAGGGAAGTTTCCTTTGGCTCTTGGTGCTGGAAGGTTTAGTCCAAAGGCCATGCTTCTTAAAGGAACATCTCCTCCCAAAAGTGCTTTGGGCTGGGGACCAACTGCTCACGTACCAATGCGCAGTGTTCATGGACTGTGTGTGGTATGAAAAATGATCCCCAAATCCAACGCAAACTGGCTGAGAGGCCCAGCTGCCAGGCTTGCCCATCTACCCTCTGTGTGTGATGCTAAAGCCTGGCTGGCCAGCTCAGGTTGTAAGAGTATCCCCAGGCCTTTCCCAGTGCATCTGTAGCCCACGGCACAGCAAGGAGGTGTGGTCAACCTCAGTTCTCCCATGAAGCACTCTGAGGCCCTCTGAGTGCCCCCATGGCCCTGTGGTTGCAACCTGCCAGGCCCCTGCTGCTCCATAGGGATCGCCTGGGCTGCGCGGGAGACCAAATATTGCTGGCTGTCTCTGCCAAGTGAGGAAGGAAGGGCCCGGAAGATGTGTAGTTTGCTGTGGGTCAGGATTTGGGAGGAGCTCCACTGGGGAGGACTCACTGGCTGGGGTCTCAATGGGGGTCTACCCAGGTGACCCACATTGATCTGCTTCCTGGTGGCATCTTGCTCGGCAGT